TGTGTGTGTGTGTGTGTGTGTGTGTGTGTGTGTGTGTGTGTTTTCTTCTTGTTGCAGATCAGGACGAGTGTCTGGTCAATAATGGCGGCTGTTCTCATCATTGCGTGGATCAGCCGATGGGTTTCTTTTGCCGCTGCCCCGACAACATGAAGCTGGTCAGGGACAGCCAGTGTGAGGGTGAGTGGCAGCCTGATGGAGCAGCTGCAAAAACAACCCCGCCCGAAGATTTATTTATTTTGTATTCATAAGTCAGGGTTGTACCATTCGTCTTACATACATATTATAATACAATGCAAGCTATGACTATTTACTCTAGTAAATCATCTCTTTGATTCTTTAGAGGTGGATGTGTGCCTAGAGAGGGACACATGTGATCAGCTGTGTGTTCACAATAACGGCAGCCTTACCTGTGAGTGCCAGGAGGGCTACAGGACGAATGCAACAACTGGAGAGTGCAAAGCTGAAGGTGAACAACAAATTATCTCACAACAATTTCAGATGTGTGCCATCAGTGGAGCTGCTAGATTTTTAAACAGTTTTTATTAGACATTTTGTTCCCCCTTCCACCTTAAATTTACTATCATACCATAGAAAGTTGTCGCAGTTGCAATTCGTAAAAATGAAAACTCTCACAAAGATGACCGCAGGCTATCAACTGGCTTCGAGTCTCTACTTAGTGGTCACGTCTTCCGTTTGGTTTCACACTAACACGTAGAGCAGATCATGTCAGAGCAGAGTTTCCAGTGTTTGATACCAAGTTAAAGAATGCCAGCAGCAAGTATTTGCAAATAATCTGCGATTTATGATGTTTTGAGCAGCTGAAGATGGTTTTCCAACACGATTTGACTGTAGGCTGAGAATAGTGTGGAATAGCCACAGACACATTCACTGAGTTAGTCTGTAAAAAGTCTATTTGTTTTTATATTTGTTCCTTTTTATCTGAGATAAGGTGTTTGGGTTTTTTTTTTTTTTTTATGAAGTCTGGCTCAGATCCCACTAATAGGCAAACCCCAAGTGGATGACTGAATTCATCTTTTGCACAAAGAGTTGTTAGTGCTGTGGTCCAAAAGAAGGAAGTCAGCTAGGATTTTCAAATAGATACCACAGGCGTGTTTACTGGAGGGGTGAGGGGTAGCGTTGGCTGTTGCCAGTATTTCTCGATTATCAACACTATCTGTAAGTACAATCAAACTTTTATGTCACGTTCACAAAGGTTACACCTTAACAAATATTGACTCAGTCACACTATATAGGTTGACACAACTGTACAAACATATTGCTCAAATCCGTAACTTTAGCATAGATACACTTACCGTAGTCAATGGCATTTTCCATTCCATTTTGTTATTATGTGACTTACAATGTTCCTGTTGTGCAAACTATTGTAAAATGACCCTGAAACTTAATTCGCTGCCACTGGGGAAAAAACAAGGTCAAAGAGTTTAAAGCAGGCCCGCTGACATTGTCACTTTTTCCACATGTCTTCAAGGACATTTAGAAAAGTCATTAAAAAATAAATAGTGATGGCACATCTGGTTTAAATGAATGAGTAAATTGAAGATAAGTAGACATAGACAGGGGAAATTCACTTGTTACAGCAGCACAATGAAAATGGAGATGAATACAGAATCATTTCTACTGTTCATAAGTGGTTGCTGTACACAGTAAATAATGTGTGTCTTTTCAGGAGATGAAGCTCAGCTGGTCTTCACCAGTTCCAAAGGGATCCAGCTGAAAAACATCAGCAGGTCTGAGTACATGGAACTGGCACCGCATGTGCCGGGTCCCCTGGCTGTCATGATTTCTAATCGCACACTGTACTGGGCCCAACAAGGAAGAGGCTCCATTTACAGGTAACCAGCACGTTTCAATATGACCTGCTTTCCAAAGTCACATGTGACAGTTGCAAGAAAATCTGAGGTCCAAAAAATATATACACATGGATGTTTACCTGTTTTTGTTTTTTTTAAATTTATTATTTATTAATACATTTTTTCCCCTAACGCTGATGTGGATCTGTGTGGCAGCAGGATAAGTGAGATAGCCCATACCCATTTTCAGAGTATCAGTTTTAGTTTCGTAAGTATTATTAGCAACTTCCTTATTATTAAAGATATACAAAATATGATCTGATCAGATAAAAAAGGGTACTTTGATAATCTGGGAATTGTTTCCTGTCTGTGGACCAAAACTGATTAGCTGCAGAGCAGAGAGACTGGATTTTAATATTCCTATCTGTATGCAAACCTGACTGGTCTCTTTTCATAAACACACATTCACTGGACTACAGTAATGTGTCAGGTAGTTGTTTCAAACTCGTGGCCTGGGGACAACTTGCGGGCCATGTCATCCCTACTTGCGGCCTGTATACCGACGTGAAGAAGTATAATGCAATTTGGCCCTTGAAGTAAGTTTTTTTTTTTTTTTTTTTTGTTAGGAATGATTTGTTTATTGTTGAGCACAATGTTAAAATAAGTTCTTTAAAAAGCCAAAAATGATTTAATGTGAGCAGAGAGCACAAACACGCTGAGTAATTGGCTGTGTTAGTTCAGTGAGAGAGTCAAAAACTAACGTGTACAATTATGTCTGCAGCTTTATTTTGTTAAATACAAACAAAATGATAGCAGAAGTGCTGCCATGTGTCTGTAAAAAAAACAACCCCCCCCCCCCCGCATTTTAGGACATATTTCTGTGTGTTTTCTTGTTTAGTTTTTTGCATTACCTGAACACCAAAATGGCCCTCAAGTGAGATGACAGTGTCAGCAGTGGCCCATAGCTCATTATAGTTAGGTGTTAAAATAAACTCTGTGCTCACACACTCTTACTTGTCTACCAATGCTTGCAGTATAAATAGAAACGGTACAGCATCATGGTCTGAAACGTGACCCAAACACAAAAACGCTATGCGACGGTGAAAACAGCCACATGCTGCGGCGCCACTATATCAGTTTGACTACCGCCGTCACTGAACTCCAGATTCAAACCAAACAATATATGTTCTGATTCTCAAAGAGTGTTTCTTAGACAGCTTTGACTCAGATTAGGGCAACAGAAAGCTAATAACCTTCACCTGACCAGATTATTTGGGTAATAGGTCATTTAGTTGTGTCAGTATCAAATATCTTCTCTCTCTCATGGCACACAGTGATAATAATCCGCATACAAGTGTGTCGGTGTTGTTGATATAAGGAAATGCAATTTATGGGGAAATGTTTCTAGTTCAACAGCCTTCATTATGCAAAGCATTTCAGAATAAAAGTGATTCTGAGAAGCATCAAAGAGTGACATGAGTCTGCTGATACGGCTATAAGGGAAGTTTTACTTTATGCTGATTCATTTAAATGACTGATCACAGGCAAACAAGAGAGTCAAATTCCACATCTCAAACAAGCTCTTCAAGTTATGGAGAGAAGATCACATATCACCTATGTCATGTACTTAGTGTTAAGTTTTGAGAAACTACTGTTGTATAAGTGAAGACTTTATCTTGCAGATTGCTTTCTCCTATAAAGCGATTAGTGCTCGGATGCTTCTTAAAAAATAAATGGTTGCCCATGTGTGACTGATATAATACATTTCCTTCATTTCTGCATTTACGTGTGGATGGGATTATTTTTTAAAACAATAATACAAAAAAATACCCGTGTACATGTGGACGTAGCCTTAGCCACACTTGAAAACAAAGGGAAACAAAGACATTATTTGACCTCACACATGCACTCTTGAAAGCAGTGCAGAGACAGAGCGGAATCATCAGCTAGTTCAAAGTAGATCTGTGTATCATCAGCATAACATAACAGAAGTGATACTGTATTTCGCAAAGGTTAGTCACAGTTCCCACGATTGTAGCCTGTTGTTCCTGTTGAAGTTATTGACTGTAGAGATCAAACAAAGAGTATACGTATGTTTTCACCTTACGGTGCAACCTATGCAGTGATGTTGTATAGCTTGTGTGCTAGCTAGTTTAAAAAACTTGATACAATGACATATATCGTTTACCATAGTTTTTTTTTTTTGTTAGTGGAGTAATGAATAGTTATGTCTAGAGATGGACCGATCCGATATTACGTATCGGTATCAGTCCGATACTGACCTAAATTACTGGATCGGATATCGGAGAAAAATAAAAAATGTAATCCGATCCATTAAATATCACGAAAGCACCTCACA